GTGCTATGTAATTCCTGCAATTAATCGCATAAAAGAAATTTGCAAGTTCGATGAACATGACGTCCAGGCGATTTCTGTTTAAAAAATTACAAATTTTGGAAGGTTTAGAGAGGACTTCGATTACGAATTTGAACATATGGCACAAAGTTGCTTATTATTTATATCCACCAGCGTTGTGTCTCCAAGCAAGCCAGTTAAGTGAAATTGAAAGCATTTGTATTGCCAAAATAGCAAATCATATATCGGAATCAGCTACACAAGACTCTTCACCGACACTACAGCCACCGGAAGAGCAATACATCATCAGCTTCCATATAATCACCAGCAGTTACTTCTTCAAACAATAAAGAGAGTTTCTACTTTCCAAACCTACTTCAATGTACGAGCACTTCTTTGCCAGAAGTTGAAAATGTTTCAGACGAAGTGCGTCGCTATTCTGCAGAAAACGTAGCATTCTTTGAAAATTTTGACGTCATGCAGTGGTGGCAAAACAATGCTAAACATTATCCTAGGTTGTCAAATCTAGCACGAAAAGTTTTTGCCATTCCCGCTAGCAGTGCAGCATCAGAGAGGGTATTTTCACTAGCCGGCAATATTATTACAGAAAAGCGAAGCAGAATTGCCCCAAAGACAGTGGATAACATTCTTTTTTTAAATTCTATTTGCAAAAAAAAGTGTAAAAGAGTACATATTTGCTGTATTAGACTGTGTCAAATAAAACGATTATTTTTTTCTTTCGGTTCCAATGAAAATTTCGTGTCGGTCAAAAAAATTAAAAAATTTAATAAACAATTAAATATAACAAATACAATATATTCAGTTTTAGTATAATAAGAGCAAGTTTGAAGCAGCCTCGACAACGAAATTTTCATATGCACAAAAGAAAAAAACATTTCTTTTATTTGGCCCAGTGTAATGTGTATGCATATTTCTACGTTCCTATAAATCTAATATTTATGAATTTTATAAATTTACTTTTAATTTAAAATCATGAATGATTTCGTTTTGTTATTTTCAATAAAAACTTTTA